TAAATCTGGGGATGAGACCAGCAGCAGTAACTGATCATAATTAACAATCAGTGATTCAGGTAGAAAACTATGTCCTGAATTTCTTTTAAAATCACTTCCACAGCTATATAAAAGGAATGAGATCATGTCTTTTGCAGGGACATGGATGGCGCTGGAGGCCATTATCCTTAACAAACTAATGCGTGAACAGAAAACCAAAAACGGTATGTTCTCACTTATAAGTGGGAGGTAAATGATGAGAACACATGAACATATAAAAGGGAACCACACATGCTGGGGCCTATTAGAGGGTGGAGGGTGGGAGGAGGGAGAGGATCAGGCAAATAACTAACGGGTGCTAGGCTTAATACCTGGGTGATGAAATCATCTGTACAAGAAACCCCCATGACACACGTTTACCTGTGTAACAAACCTGCACAGGTAAACTTTTTTGAACTTAAAAGTTAAAAAAAAAGTTTAACAACAACAAAAGTCACCTCTGTGTTTTATTATCTCTACAACACTGATAAGATCAGTCCTTACAACTTGCTCTCTCTCTTACACACACACACACACACACACACACACACATTTCTGGCACTAAGTAAACCCCTTAGTGGCATAACAAACAAAAACAAGCCTCTTGGATGCTGAATTATCAACTTCATCCACATCCCCATTTTACACATATGGAAACCACAGGATAAATGATTGGAGTCAGAACCATAGCTGAGGTATTCTGCCAGATTTGAAAGCAGTTTTCCCTATACAAATGGGTCCTACCCAGACCTACTGCATCAGAATTCTCAGAAGAACATCTACACATCTGACTATTGCAAGTTCCTCAGGTGATTCATGATCAGTTATATTCAGGAGTTCCATACTGCACTGCTCTGCTGCAGATTCAACAAAGATAGACCCGGTAACAATCATCAAACGATTCAACAAGCTCGATGTCCTGGGATCTATAGAATAACTGAATCAAAAAGTCCCTGAGGCCAGAGACCCAAGATTTTAAGTCCACGTCTCTTAGCCCAACTTCCTTGAGGTACAGACAGTGCAACATTCGTGACTCATGAGTCTCATCACCCAGGCTGGTTATCATGGATAGGAATGTTTCTACTCATTCATATTAAGCAACCTCTCACTCCTATTGCATTTTCTGTAAATACTTACAGGCTGGTATGGAGCAAAGGAAAGTTGAAGGAATTAATTCGGAAGGTCCCTAACTCTAACCATAAAGCTTGGAAGAGTAGCCCTGCATGGGCAGAAATGTGAGTGATAATAACCCAGCCAACTTCTATTTATTTATTAATTTTTTGCTCAGCTCTCTATCCTATACCACATAGTGTACTTTATTTAAGTTACCATTCTTCACTGATGACCAATATAAATTAAAGCCATACCACTGCTCCGAATTGTATCATAAGCCAAGACATAGCTAACTGCAAGACTCAAAGATAGCCTTTAGGATTTTGGTGAAATAGGCAGGCCCTTCTTCACATCAAGTCAAAGAAATATTACTCACCATCAGACCTGCTCCTATAATTCCTGGGAACCACCACTCAAAGCAAGAGATGGGGTTTTGAGAAAACTGGTCTTTCTCAATTAAGTTGACAATTAGAGGTATCGCATTGAGAACTACTCCTAACAGCAGAAGAACCAGCAGGGAGACTCCATTGCAGGATGTCCATCCTTCACAGCAGGTCATGGTCAACGCTGGTTCAGTTAGAAACGTTGTCAAAGTGGCCCATGCTTGCTTGGTACTCTGTTGCCTTTTATCCCAATCTTCTGGTTAAACTTTAATGCTAATAAAAAAGGAATCATGGAAAATAGTTCAGAGTTCAATAGGATAAGACATTATTATGACGGCTATGATGGGAAATGAGAAAATAATTTTATATTATAGGGTGAAGGAAGGAAAGCAGAAAAAAATGTGAGGTACATTTATGCATGAAGATACGCAAACAAAAGCTTTAAAAAAAAAAGATGGGTTTACAATAAGTTTCTTTAATATACTCCTTTACTAGTATGGCTTCTAAAAAGTAAAAACAAGAATATCCAGATAAACTATATTTTCCTGTTCTGTTGATATTATTACCAGCTACAGAAGTTTCTTATTTTGAAATTCTTCAAGAAAATGAACATGTATGAGATGCAGAGAAAAGTATTTTCTCTGCTGCAAATGTTAGAGTTTAGTTTCAAGTTGTATGATCACATACACAAAATAAAATTTTTATGTCATGTTATTCCAGCGTTGTAGACTAATCCATTTGGAGATAGCCCACCTGAGACATGTGAGAAGTTTGCCTAATGCTACCAGACTGAAAGACAGCAATTGGAGAGAGATTGGATAGGGAGATTATCATATTTTGTTTTTGCCCTTGAACACTTACTTGGCCATATATAGTACTTCACACGGTCTCTAGACTGTGGTTCTACATTGTCTCTCTACTAGTTTGTGAGCTCCTTGAGAAAAGACTATCGTTTGGGATAGACTTTAAAATACAAAAGTTCTGGCTGGATGTGGTGGCTCATGCCTGTAATCCGAGCACTTTGGGAGGCCAAGGTGGGAGGATCACCACTGAGGTCAGGAGTTTGAGGCCAGTCTGGCCAACATAGCAAAACCCCCATCCCTACTAAAAATACAAAAAGTAGCCAAGTGTGGTGGCACACACCTGTAATCCCAGCTACTCAGGAGGCTGAGGCAGGAGAATAGCTTGAACCTGGGAGGAGGTGGTTGCCGTGAGCTGAGATCACATCACTGCATTCCAGCCTGGGAGACAGAGGGAAACTCCATTTCAAAAAACAACAACAAAGTTCTTGCTGCTGGGCGCAGTGGCTCATGCCTGTACTCCCAGCACTTTGGGAGGCTGAGGCGGGCGGATCGCCTGAGGTCAGAAGTTTGAGACCAGCCTGACCAATATGGTGAAAGCCTGTCTTTAAAAATTTTTTTTTAAAAAGAACAAAGTTCTTGCTTATGCTAACTGTCCACCCTGATCAAAATGGGGTCCGTGCTCATGGTAGTTACTGAAAGACCTAGACTGGCAGAGGCACTATCTTGACCCAGGCTTCCATGGTTAGTTACAGAGGCAGGGTGAAAAAAAGCAGGTCCCCAGTGAAATGGCTCTTTGTATCAAAGGATTAAAGATAACCCACATATGGGCCAGGCATGGTGACTCATCCCTGCAATCCCAGCACTTTGGGAGGGTAAGGCGGGCAGATCACTGGAGCCCAGGATTTCGAGACCAGCCTGGCCAATATGACGAAACCCTCTCTCTACTAAAAATACAAAAAAAAAAAAAAAAATTATCTGGGTGTGGTGGCGGGCACCTGTAATCCCAGCTACTCAAGAGACTGAGGCAGAAGAATCATTTAAACCTGGAGGGTAGTGGTTGCAATGAGCTGAGATTGTGCCACTATACTCCAGCCTGGGTGACAGAGCGAGACTCCATTTCAAAACAAAAACTAAAAACACCCACCTATCAACACAACACACAAAACACTGAGAATAACTTAAAGAATACTACAGCTGGGTTGAGAGAAAGGAGATACTTCCATTTGGTATATAAACCGTATGGTTTATATACTTCCTCATGGTTTAGATTTCTACTACAATTACATAATATTCTAAAAATATGTATTTCTTATTTTATAAAAATTAACAACTAAAATTTGCCCTCCCACTAAGTCATATAAATCATTTCATTCTACAACTATATAATATAAGTAAGTTATATATTTATTAGTGGCTTGAATGAGTGGAGGGTGGTAGTTACTTAGAATGTGGGTTGTGCCATTTCAAATCCTTTTGCTGTCTTCATAAGATGTTGAATTGAAGAACTGTTTAGGTAATCATTTTATATGTAGGGAACTGGATCAGCTGGACTCCTCCTGACTATGAGAATCAAGCGTCTTATTTCCAGAGTCTTTGCCATTTGACCAAAACTGAGTAAGTTGCATGCTTTTGCTAGTGGACACAACATATTTCCACTTGGGTTTGGTACTCCTTACATTTGTGACTAAAAGGAAGTATCTGCAGATTTCTTTTTTTTTTTTGAGACCGAGTCTTGCACTGTTGCCAGGAGCCAGGCTGGAGTGCAGTGGCACGATCTTGGCTCACTGCCACCTCCACCTCCTGAGTTCAAGCAATTCTCCTGTCTCAGCCTCCTGAGTAGCTGGGACTACAGGGGTGCGTCTCCATGCCCAGCTAATTTTTGTATTTTTAGTAGAGACGGGGTTTCACCATGTTGGCCAGGATGCTCTCGATCTCTTGACCTCGTGATCCACCCACCTCGGCCTCCCAAAGTGCTGGGATTACAGGCGTGGTATCTGCGGATTTCTGTAAAGATGTAGAAATGTAGTCTGTATGTTCTAAAGGGGAAGATATTTCAGGATAAAGCTGAAAAGAGAATTAGCTTATAACTGAAGAGAAGAATGTGACAACTTTTTAGTATCTGCCCAACACGCATGCCTGTTTCTGTGAAAACAACCCCCATAACTTGCATGCATACACCCTCTGTATCCCATTTGTGTTATGGAACTGTGCTCCCCTAGCCATTATTGATCAGAATATCAGTACATACAGAAGCTAAGTATTTCCAGTCTCCCTAGGAGCTTGGAATTGAAACCAAGAGAAACTAGTTATTTCCTACCATGCATGAAATGCATGAAATGGGAGGGCATGTGTATCTGTTAAGATTAATCTTAGTTGGCTGGGTGCAGTGACTCACACCTTTGGGAGGCTTGAGGCACGCGGATCACCTGAAGTCGGGAGTTCAAGACCAGCCTGACTGACATGGAGAAACCCCATCTCTACAAAAACTACAAAATTAGCCAGGCATGGTGGCACATGCCTGTAATCCCAGCTACTTGGGAGGCTGAGTCAGGAGAAATACTTGAACCTGGGAGGCAGAGGTTGCAGTAAGCCGAGATCACACCATTGCAATCCAGCCTGGGCAACAAGAGTGAAACTCCATCTCTTAAAAAGAAAAAAAAGAAAAAAAAAGATTAAGCTTAGCTGCACACAAAAAGAAATTTAAAATAAAAATGGCTTAAAATAGAAAGTTATTCACAAAGTCCAGAGGTAAGTGCTTGATATGACTTGGCTGTGTCCCCACCCAAATTTCATCTTGAATTGTAGTTCCCATAATCCCCAAGTGTCATGGGAGGAATCTGGTAGGAAGTAATTGAAACATGGGGCAGTTACCCCAATGCTGCTATTCTGATAGTGATTGAGAATGAGTTCTCACAAGATGTGATGGTTTTATAATGCTATCTCCCTTTTGCTCATTCTTCTTTTTGCTGCTGCAATGTGAAGAAGGGTGTGTTTGCTTCCCCTTCCACCATGACTGTAAGCTTCCTGAGGCCTCCCCAGTCATGCTGAACTGTGAGTCAATTAAACTCCTTTCCTTTATAAATTACCCAGTCTCAGGCACGTCTCTATTAGAAGCATGAGAACAGTCTAATACAGTGCTCAGTAGTTGGAATGGTAGCTCCCCTTCTTCAGAGATCCTTTCAGTACATGGATCCACCATCTCTTTTATCTCTTCATTCTCATGTTCAAAATGTGACAACCATAGCTCCAATAATTACAACTACTCTCCACTCAGAAGGATAGAGGAAGACAAGAAGAATAAATAAAACAGAAGGATAAAGGAAGAGAAAGGCCTACGCTCTTCCTTTTAAAGAGCCATCTCATTGCCTAGAAAATAGCCATGTAGCAACATGGGAAATGTAGTATTTATTCCAAGTGATCTGTGCCCGGTTAACACTGGGAAGAAGAACGAGACCAAGGGTATTGTGTAGGCCATAGAAGTCTCCACCATATTTAAATTCATGAGCTTAGCCAGGCATGGTAGCTCACACCTGTAATCACAGCCACTTGGGAGGCTAAGGTGGGAGGAGTGCTTGACGCCACGAGTTCAAGACCAGCCTGGGAAACATAGCAAGACACTATCTTTACAAAAAAATAAAAATAGTAGCCAGGCACAGTGGCTTATGCCTGTAATGGCAGTGATTTGGGAGGCTAAGATGAGAGAATCATCTGAGGTGAGGAGTTTGAGACCAGCCTGGACACCCCATGTCCAAAAAAATATTTAGCCATGCATGGTGGCACACACCTAAAGTCCCAGCTACTCAAGAGGCTGAGGCAGAAGGATTGCTGGAGCCCAGAAGTTGGAGGTTGTAGTGAGCTATGATCATGCACTCCAGCCTGAACAACAGAGTGAGACCCTTCTATAGAAAAAGAAATAAAAATAATAAAAATACAATACAATACAATGAATTCATGAACTCTGCTGGGAGAAACAGAGAAACCAATCTGTACAAGAAGGAGGAGGAGGGGCAGGGAGGAGAAATATCTAGGGAGAGGAAGTAGGAGACCGTACAGCTTTAGAGGGTGGCGGAGAAAGGGTAACTGCTTGGTTTCTCAAAGGCATTTTACATCTTGATTTCTCCCCTGTGAAAACTGATTGCAAGGTCTGTCTTTGTTTTCTGTGAGACGCCCCTGTGTTATTATCCTTTTATACTGTTTTTAGTGGGTTTCTATTTTTCTGCAACCAAAAGAGCTAAAACTAAAAGTTGCTAAAACCAAGGATAGAAAAGTATGCAAATAACTTGTCACATGGCATGCCAAAACAGCAAAAGCCTCAGAGTTCAGAAAAAGGAAGATTTCATCAAGAAGGGTTGGGAGCCAGGATTCTTCACAGCTTTGGAGCATGGCTAGAATTTGGTATGAAAAGATAGGACATGTCATGTACCAGTGTCAGTTAGTTGCAGAAAACTGCAGTTCAAGCTATGGAATTGGGAAGAGATGGAATGAGAGAATCATGTGTACAAAACTGCTGGAAGGGCTAGAAAAGCAGGCTCTAGACTTATCTGCAGAAATACTGGCTGGGACATGAGTGCTGAACTGGCCCTGGGAGATGCCGCTGTCTCTGCAGTAGTCAAAAAGGAAGGGAAGCCTGGCAGTGGTGGCTCATGCCTGTAATCCCAGCACTTTGGGAGGCTAAGGCGGGTAAATCACCTGAGGTCAGGAGTTTGAGAACAGCCTGGCCGACATGGTGAAACCCCATCTTTACTAAAAATACAAAAATTGGTCGGGCGTGGTGGCGGGCGCCTATATTCCCACCTACTTGGGAGTCTGAGGCAGGAGAATCTCTTGAACCTGGGAGGCAGAGGTTACAGTGAGCTGAGATTATGCCACTGCACTCCAACCTGAGTAACAAGAGTGAGACTCTGTCTGGGAAAAAAAAAAAAAAAAAAAAAAAGTCAGGGACATCAAGAAGCCACCTCTGGAATGATTAAGTTCAAGAACACCCCATTTCGGCTGCAGTCCAGGAACTACGGCTGCTGTTGTCATCCGTCATCCGTACACCCCAGGTTAGTGATCGAATGGCGCAACGCCGAATTTGACTATACCTGCTGCTGTAACTGGTTATTAACTTGCATGACACTCTCTGAACCCAGGAACGTTGCTGCAGTGCAGAAAACTCAACTCCTCCACCCAATCTTCCTTATCAGCAGCAACAGATAAAAGTAGCGGGAAAATGACCTTCACCTCATTTCTGCCTTTTATACCCCTCAAGGGTTGATCTAATTGTTGCAATATCCATATGCCAGATGCAGAGGATTCTGTGCAGTGTAATTTTTAATCATCTCAGCCTCGTCTGTAAGGAAAAAAAAATACTAGAAGGACATGGAAATGGCTGTTGAGCAAGACAGCTCACGCTAGCCACCACTATGATCTCATTTAAATGGTATGGAGAAAACTTTCTCTAGAATATCTAGATCATTTTTAAAAGAATCTGAATGATGTCTGTGGTTGTAACTCTAGAATGACATGTAACATTTTAAAAAACAAATCAAAACTACCTGGTTAATTCAAATGAGAACAATGTTAGCAGTATTAGAAAAACTTGTTCTTGGCATGGTGGCTCACGCCTGTAAACCCAGCATTTTGGGAGGGCTAGGCAGGTGAATCGTTTGAACCCAGGAGTTTGAGACCAGTCTGGGCAACATGACGAGACCCTGTTTCTGGAAAAAAAAAAAATTAGCTGGGCATGGTAGCACAAACCTGTTGTCTCAGCTGCTCTAGAGGCTGAGGTGGGAGGATTGCTCAAGCCTGGGAGGCGGAGGTTGCAGTGAGCCATAATCACACTGCTGTACTCCAACCTCGGTGACAGAGTGAGACGCCATCTCAAAAAGAAAAAAAAAAAAGAAAATTTTTCTTTGAAGAACAATCTGCCACAGGGATCAGTTTAACTACTCCAGGAGAAATGCAGGTGATACAAATGGCTAATAAACACCCACCTGAGTTACCTTTGGGCATCCCCTTCTGAACACACTGCAGTCAAATCAGCCGGGAGTTTTACTAGAACATAAGCTTTATGTGGTAGACACAGCTAACTGTCCATGAGAAATGTATGCCTTTCCCTATCATATGACAAGGTTGTTGCTGGGAAGTATCAGTCTAACTGTGGACTGAGTAGGACCATATGATTACTTCTTCTTCTTTTTTTATTTTTTGAGACAGAATCTCACTCTGTCACCCAGGCTGGAGTGCATTGGCAAAATCTCAGCTCACTGCAACCTCTGCCTCCCGGGTCCAAGCAATTCTCTTTGCCTCAGCCTCCCGGGTAGCTGGGGTTGCAAACATGTGCCACCATGCGCAGCTAATTTCTTTTTATTTTTTAGTAGAGACAGGGTTTCTTCATGTTGACCAAGCTGGTCTCTAACTCCCGACCGCAGGTGATCCACCTGCCTCAGCCTCCCAAAGTGCTGGGATTACAGGCATGAGGCACCAGTCCTGGCCAGGACCACGTGATTACTTCAAACCAATGACAAGCTGTGTCACTTTCAAGCCACAACGCTTAAGAAGTGATGGGCTATTCTTTCCTTTTCTACTTACAGACTGGGGACCACTAAGCCATCTTAGAAGCCATGTCTTGAAAATGTCAGTGCTTTCTTCAACCCAGATCCCTAAATGACGAGTGGAGAGTAGCTTCCCTAACCTGCATCCCCTTCTGCCCACCTAAAACTGCTCAGGATAGTTGATATCAACAAGAAAAGCTGCTTCATTGTGTTGAGTCATTGTGTATTTTTGTGTTAATTTGTAACAGTAGCTAACATTTCCCTAATAAATTCAGAGTATATCTTGCCTTTCATCTTACAACCTTCCTAAGGTTTGCAACAAGTGTTGCCAAACATCAGCTCCATCACTCTCTCCTCCCCTTCTTCAAACACAGCAGAAACAAATCAAAACAAACACGGTGAAATACTGTATTTTTCTGGTGTTTTATTAAATTATATTTAGGAAGATAAGTGAACACTAGACGCTGTAATCAATGTATAGCATATAACCAATATAAGCATGTATACAAGTACAGACTTTCCACAGATAGTAAATGTTTCAAACGCATGGAATACATGAGAAATCATTATTTCATTCCACTGAGCTCGTGAATGTAAATTTTGTACTTTCGCAAGGTAAGTTATGGCCTGTTTTTGTTGCAGTACAGGTTATAGCAGATGAGCCATATTGGATTAAAGGTGATTTTTAAACAAATTTTAATGCCCACTATGGCCAAGGTATATATATTTTAAAGCATAAGATATATAAAAGAAATCTTCAGAGCATGGGGCTGGAGAATCTGTGAGTTTAGTTCTGCAAAGTCAATAGATCTCAATAGATTCAAATGTTGTGAAAATGGAAAAGTTCCTTACTAATTCTTAGTTCAAACTTATTATTTTATAGGTGGATAAGCAAGTCTCTGGAAGGCTGAGTGACTTGTTTGTGGCCAACTGCCATGGCAGAGCATGGACTTGAATTTGGGCTTCTGACTTCTAATCAGGTGTATTTCTATTAAATCACATGCCCAGGCTGGAGTGCAATGGCAAGATCTAGGCTCACTGCAACCTCCACTTCCCGGGTTCAAGCAATTCTCCTGCCTCAGCCTCCTGAGTAGCTGGGATTACAAGCCCCTGTCACCATGCTCAGCTAATTTTTGTATTTTTAGTAGAGACAGGGTTTCACCATGTTGGCCAGGCTGGCCTTGAACTCCTGACCTCAAATGATCCATCTACCTTGGCCTCCCAAAGTGCTGGGATTATAGGCATGAGCCACCGCGCCCTGGCCAACATGACTCAATATTCACTTGAACCAGAGGAGATGAAAGTACACAAAGTCTACAAATCCAAGCACAGGAAAGAGCATCTTCCCAGAGGCCGGGGCCCGCCTAGCAGCAGCATTGCTTCTGGCAGCAGCACTTTTGCTGGCAGCATCCCTTCTGCTGGCAACAGCCCTTCCCACAGCCACAGCCACATGAGCTGCAGGTGCGACGGCAGCAGCAGATCACGGGCGTGCTGCAGCAGCCCCCACAGCAGCCGCGGCAGCAGGGGCAGCAGCTGGAGCAGCAGCCCACCCGGTAACACCTGCAGGTGGTGCAGCTGCCACAGCCACCACCACAGCCACCACCACAGCCACCACCACAGCCACCACAGCCACCACCACAGCCACCACCACAGCCACCACAGCCACAGCAACCCATGGTGTCAGTAGAGAGGTCTCAGGTGAAGTGAAGAGGGAGGGACTCAGGAGAGGTGAAGGGAGTCTGATGCCTCCTTCTGCTGGGGACGCCTTTATATACCATCCTTGGCTTGGGCTTGACCCAAACACCTGGCTACTTCCCTGTTGTTGTTTATGTCAATTCCCTTGGGAGAATTTTATAGCACCTCTGCTTTACCTCCTTCTGAGGAACTTCTGACTTCATAAATAGCTGATTCTACTTCTGACTTTATTTTCTTTCAAGACATTTACAATAGACCTATAAGAATATGAAATATTTTGCTATTGTATTTATTTCCTGCACAACCAATGTAAGTCCAGCTCTGAAGCCCTGATGTGAATTGTAATCATTATTAGAGCTGTGATCTCTACCCTTTTCCATTTTTATGTAATGCCATTGCTTATCCTTTAAGAGATGGTGCAGTCTGGGCACAGTGGCTCACACCTGTAATCCCAGCACTTTGGGAAGCTGAGGCAGGCGTATCATGAAATCAAGACCATCTTGGCCAACATGGTAAAACCCCATCTCTACTAAAATTACAAAATTTAGCTAGGCATGGTGGCGCATGACCGTAGTCCCAGCTACTCGGGAGGCTGAGGCAGGAGAATCACTTGAACCTAGGAGGTGGAGGTTGCAGTGAGCCGAGATCACACCACTGCACTACAGCCTGGCACCAGAGCAAAAATCCGTCTCAAAAAAAAAAGAGAGAGATAGTACAAAGAAAATACCTTCTGAAACACCCAAACTGAACATTTTCAAAATCTCCCATTTGCCAGATTCAAGGAGAAGGGTCCGTGGGGCCTTTCCCATCCTTCTTTAGGCTTCTTGCTGTCCCTGATTAGTCCTCAGATTTTACAAAGAAGAGATAGAGTGAGAGTCAGCTTAAAAGTTGGCAAAACACTCTCAGAATTGAAGACTTTGGGTCACGGGGATGAGACCTGAAACCATGGGTGCACTGCAAGCCCTGTGAGAACTTCCATGCATAAACGAGTGTGCAGAGACGGGCCTGACCTTGTGGCTGTGCATCCCACAGCCATGTGAACCATAGTCTTTCCCTGCAGCATAGTGGCTTTCCACTGCGGCACATAAACAGCGTGGCAGGAGGACTCAGAAAAACCTATTCAGCATCATATTTTTGAATTAAACAGGTATTACTTTTGAAATATGACGGAGAGTAAAATACAGGTAAATCTAATTTGTAAGCCAGAGGTCCTCAAGGAGATTGCATTTGAGTAAAAGCATCAAGTAATTTCAAATAGGATCAAGTAAAACCAAGTAGGAGCAACAAGTAGTTTCGATGTCATGAACAAGCCCTATTTTAGAACTGTGGCCCAGGTGCCACAGCCCTCCTTCACAGAGTAGGTCTCCACCGGTGGTGATTCTTTAATAATCACAGGAGTGGCCAGGCGTGGTGGCTCATGCCTGGAATCCCAGCATTTTGGGAGGCCAAGGCAGGAGGCTTGCTTAAACTCAGGAGTTTGAGACCTGCCTGGTCAACGTAGTGAAACCCCATCTCTACTAAAAATACAAAAACATTAGCCAGGCGTCGTGGCGAGCACCTGTAGTCAAGCTACTCCAGAGGCTGAGGCAAGAGAATCACTTGAAACCGGGAGGTGGAGGCTGCAGTGAGCCGAGGCTGCACCACTGTACTCCAGCCTGGGGCGGCAGAGCGAGACTTTGTCTCAAAAAAATGAAATAATAATAATAATAAAATTCGCAGGAGTTTTCCATGCACCCAGTGTCAACCTCAGATCTAGGCAAGAGGTTCCCCCGTCCTGGGCCCTGCACTTTACAATCCCACATATCACAAGCATACAAAAAAATAAATCTATTTAAAAAACACAAGCCCTGACCCACCCCCACCACTTAGGACCCAGAGCTTGGCCCAGGAGCCTAAATATGTGCAGCTGTGACTAGTACAGCTCAGAGAAGTGCTTCTTCATGGCCCTTGCCCCCACGCCCTCAAAATAGGGGCTGCCAGCTTCTCTCTCCATGCGTAGAGGTTTGTGGGTTGATTCCTTCAAAGTGTGACAAGAGATTGTTGGAAAGTACCTAAGTGAGAGAAAAGATGGCTTAACTTGTCAAATCCTTCTTGTCAGCATGACTAAGCAATATTCTTGTGTAATAAAATGTTTCCAGTAAGTAGTGGCAAGAATCCAGTTTCTTGCTCATCATGTTCTGCTCCATTGTTGGAGGTACTGACATGCTCATGTGGTGTTTACAAAAATTGCATGCTGTCACTGAGCAATGTTTGCACTATGAAACAATTCGTATTTTTCTTAGATTTCTTTACAGGTAAGTCTAAATATAGCATGCATGAAATAGGCTGACTCTTTACACTGTCAATAAATGGACATGAAACACTACACTTGTGAATAATTTTACTTTCATAACACACTTTCTTAAATGCACTTACATGTTTAAAGAGTCAATAAATATTGCAGCTCCCTTTAAATAATTTTATTTAAAATTTGGATTTTCATTATTTATAATTTGAATTTTGTCTTTACATTTCAAGAATTTAAAAAAATTTTGAAGATTTTTTTTTAAAAGAAAGTTAACTTTTTTTTTTTTGAGATGGAGTCTCACTCTGTCTCCTAGGCTGGAGTGCAGTGGCGTGATCTCTGTTCACTGCAACCTCCGCCTCCCGGGTTCAAGCAATTCGCCTGCCTCAGCCTCCCAAGTAGCTGGGACTACAGGCGCACACCACCACACATGGCTAATTTTTTATTTTTAGTAGAGACAGGGTTTTACCTGTTGGCCAGGCTGGTCTCGAAGTCCTGACCTCAGGTGATCTGCCCACCTCAGCTTCCCAAAGTGCTGGGATTACAGGCATGAGCCATCCCGCCCAGCCAAAAGTTAACTCTTAAGCCTGCAAAAAATATTTTTAATTTTGTTACTTTTAACTTCCTTTGTTTTGTTCTCTTAATAAAAATATGTTCAGATTTTTTGAGGGGTAACCCCAGGCAATTTTATTACTTTATCCCTGAACCTCAAGTGGCTCATCTATAAGGTGAGGATAACAACAGTACCCATTTCATAATTATGAAGATTAAATACACTAATGCCAGGAAAGTACTTTAGTATGTGCCTACCACATGCTAAACACTCAACAAAAGACATTATCTGTGCACGCTGATGCTCAAACAGGGATGAAATATATTCAAATTTTATAGTTAGAATGTTGTTATATTTCCTTTTTAATCTTTTAAATCATTGTCAATAGAATGCAAATTATTTTTAAATTCTTTATAAATATTTAAGAATTTTTCTGAAATGAAGGTAAGAAAAATATTCTGAAGCAAATAAATGATTTATGAATTATGTATATTTCTATTTTCTTACTCATCCAAACATCCTGCCCCATTAGCAGAGCATCTAGCCATAATACAATAGTGATTAAATTCAGCTGTCTATGATATTTTGCCCAAAACCACAGATTTACACACTGTTTTTCTTTTTCGTTCTTTCTTTCTTTCTTTCTCTTTTTTTTTTTTTTTTTTTTTTTTTTTTTGAGACAGAGTCATATACTCTGTCACCCAGGCTGGAGTGCAGTGGTGTGATCTCTGCTCACTGCAACTTCTACCTCCCA